TAAAAGGACTGTGAACTTTGTTTCAAAGGCTGTTCTTGGCAATCAGAATGAAATGATTTTACGTTTAGCGAAACGTAAGTCTAGTTCTTGAATATCTTTTTTTTAAAAAAAGGTATCTGATAGTGGCTTGTTCAAACAGAGAATTGTTAAACAAACCATTGTAACTCTGAAAAAGGCAGTACTCAATTAGAAGAGCAGAGTTTTCCAGGAAAGGGAAGCCACGATGTAGATGAAGATGAAGATACAGGGAACAAAGCCTCTTTCATTACACAAATAATTGAACCACAAATTTTGGAGAGTCATTCTACTTTTTACCAAATCATATTAATTCATACTTCAAATGTGAGGCTAAAATGTCCCAAAGAAAATAGACATTCTCAGGGCAAATGAGAAATTGAAGATAAAAGCACTGAAGAAGCGAAATGCCCTTCTGCTGATATGGGCCATGTGGGTGTCTGGGCTGATAAGGAGCTTGGCTCTCTCAGAACCTTCTTGGTAGACTGACCACAAGTGGGCAGGTCCCAGTGAGACATCTGAGGCTCGTCCAGTTTCCCTTAAACGAAGTACTGCTAACTTTCTCATCACACTGACGGGGTCCTACCTTGAGCAGGTGGTGATGTTGGTGGACTTTTCTCCACATGATTTAGTGAGAAGAGTCAGTCGGAACAGGAAGTGGCAATGAAAGCTGAGTAGGCTGTAAGCAAAGACAGAAACACACAGGAGAAAAAGTGTTTATCTCTTCAACCAGGAAAGATTGTGAGCATGAGTACTGATGACAGAATTTGGGTGTTAGTTTAAGCCTTAGGGACATCTGACCCAAAGCTCTACATCAGCAGGGTTGAAAATTTGACTTTTCATCTTCTAGAGTTTCCTGAGGGAAAAGGAGTGGCTGCCAAGGAGAGAATTGTTCCATACTTTTTACTTGAGACAAATTAAGGATGACACTCTTCAGACAGCAGTTAGAGAAATGTTGGCCTTAATTGGCTGCATGAATCCATTAAAAGGAAGAGGAATCCTAATTTGAGCAATCGATGCTGTAGGAACAAGGGGTGTGGTTGCTCTTCAGACACAGCAAGAAGAAGCTGAACTGACTCAGGAGCCAATTCACCAGCTCATTAATTGCATTTGTGGTGTAAGCACAGGGGCCATCTGAGCTTTCCTGTTTGGATTGTTTCACGTGTCCTTGCATAAATGTGAAGAACTTCACATAAAATTGGGGTCAGGTGAGGTTTCACAAAATGTCATTGTTGGAACAGTCAAAATGACTTGGAGCCATGTGCTTTAAGATAGTCAAATGTGGGGACATATTCTTAAGAACAGAATGGGATACGTACTGATTATTAAAGCAGCAAGAAATCCCCCACGTCCTATGGTAGCTACTAGTAAGTACCATGGTAAACAGAGGGATAATGCCAACAGCTTTTGTGTTCAGACACTATGATCATTTTCTTGCAATCAACTCTTACCATGTGGGAGGCTGCTGTTATAAAACATAGCAGGCCATTAGAGTCTCATCTGCTGCTTTGCAGAGTGTGCATCTGGGAAATAATCTTCCTCAAGTTGGAGGATTGATTCTGTACAACCCCTCAGCATTAGTAATGAATGACTTAGATGTCCTTGGCCAGATGTCCCATTAGAATGCATAGCAAGCCTGGGCATTGGACATCATAAGAGTAATGTAAGAAATACCATGGCATACACAAGCCTGGAAACCAACCTATCTAATGATATCAACAGTGCTATAGATACAGAAAAAGGTCTTCTGACAACTATTTTAGCTTCAGCCCTATAATGCTGAAAACATACCTGTAGATGAAAGTCAAAATGAAAAGCTGGATCAGCTGCAGTTGAAAGGTTGAAGTATGTAGAAAAAAATAAAGAAAAAAAAAGAAAAAAACCTTGCAAAAATATTAAGCCAAGAAAAACCAAGTCTGCAAACATTAATGATTGGGTAAACCTAAAAACTGGCATATATGAAACCTTACATTCTTTTCAAAATTCTGATGAATATATATGTGCAGTCTCAAAAATGAAAGGCTGTTCAGTGGCTCCACCGAACTGAATAAGGAATTATGGGATTCAGCAAAAAAGTTACCATTGAAATACTCGTGAATTCTGGGGAATCCTAATAAAGCCAGTGCTTGGACAATTTATATGCTGGGTTCCAAAATTCATATGGAAATTAGGTTTTTATGACATTAATAATTAACTAAGCTTTAGGAACCTTAATATTTTGCTAGTTGGTTTTAGTTGATATTGGTATTATGTTTTTTGTTGTTTTAAAAAGTATTAATGTATGTGCCAGACAGCAAACTGAAAACTATCATATTATACTTTGTATTTTTGCTTTAGTCATCATAATCATGTGAAATTTATGCCATCATTGATTTTGTTTCAGACGGAAAAGCTAATTTCTTCTTAAATTTACATTGCTTATGTTTTTACTAGCATTTAGATTATTTTACAATCCAAATGCTGTCTTTTCCTCTAATATCATCTAAACAGATGTGGAATAATAATTTTTTATCTATCAAAGGATGATTACATTTGAAATATGAAAGAATTAGAGCAGTTTTCACTTCAAAGCTTGCTTGTTTCAACAGTTTGGCTCAAAAACATTGGTGGAGTTCCAATCAACTACTTTCCCCCCTTGAAACTTTAAGATAATGCTGTGTGTTAACTTTTCTAGATGAAGCTCCAGTTTTTTGTTCACTGTTATAAAAGCAATCCTTGTAATTCATTAAAAAATATCCCTTTCATTAACAAAAGCAAAAAGACTACTGCAATTTAAAATAGACAAACTTAACGCAATCCATAAATTCGTATAAGACATGTGGCCTTCCCATACTCCTTCATAGTGTTCTCTTCCCTGATCAAAACTTGATCCCAGAAAAGCTTCTGATAAACTCATATATCCAGAAATATAAAATATAGTACAGTTCATGTATTGTGTTTTAAAAGGAAGAAATTTTTAAAAATCTAATTTTGAGATTTATGTTCTCATCAGATTATTAGAAGAATATTGTAAGGAGCAAGGAGGTCTTTTGGGGAACATTAAAACCAAACTGAAAATTTTATTTAGTGGCCTCCCCATACCCACTTCCCCACCTGCATTATGGATAATTATGGATATGTAACATTGCATCAGTCTTATCTAAAGTGCCTATAAACCACATCAGATTGAAGCCTCTCACTGGATCAGGCAGACACCAATGAGCCTCACTTATCTGGACGCTTTTAAGTCCTATGTCAGTGTTCTCCCAGCCTAGGGCCCATGAAAGTGACCTTACAAAACATCAAAATGTTAACTTTCAAAATGAATATATATCCAGTAAAATATCCAGACTTGGAAATGGTCAATTATTCCTGCTCTCGTTTTTTCTGCAGAGATGCTGTAAGCCTAACAGTAATTTAGAGATTTTTGTTTAGTGTTTAGGTAAATTTCACATACAGTGAAATGCAACAACCTTAAATATATAATTCAGTGAGTTTTGAAAATAGCATTCACCATGTAACCCACATCTCAATCAAGATATAGACAATTTCCATATTCTTAGAAATTCCCTCAAACCTCTTTGCAATGGATTCTGTGATCCCCATACTTCATCCCAGGCAACAGATTGACCTGTCCTATAACATCATACAAATGAGTCATGCAAGAAGTTTTCTTTTGTGTTCAATTTTATCTCAGTATAATGTCTATCTGTAAGATTTAGTTATACTGTGATGTATATCAATTTGTTTATTCATCAATCAATAGTTATTTATAGTGTTTCTTTTCTTTTTTATTTTTTTACTGTTATGAAAAAGGCCATAATGAATGTTCTTGTCCAGGTCTTTTTGTGAATAAATGTATTCATTTCTCTTGGGTAACTACCTAATAGGGAAATTATGGATCATAGGGTTAAATCTGAACCTTTTGAAAGAAGGAAAGCATCTGACCCAAAGGTTTTTCTCTTCTTTTATCAGATACCCACTGCACACTCCCAGCAAGAAGACCCAAATAAACCCTACTGGATTTTGAGGGTTGTCACTGAACATAACGAAGCGGAATATCTTGAAGTGAAAAAAGATACAGAACGAGCAGATGAGATCCGAGCTATGAAGCAAGCCTGGGAGATGGCAGAGCCAGGAAGAGCCATCAAGGTCTCTTGAGTCTGTGGAGTTGTGCTTTTCCTTTCTGTTACTCGGCATGGTTGGAAGAAAGAGCCATGTTGGTGAAACCACATAGTCTTTCCTTCAGGAATGGCATCTGGAACTTTCTCAGACATTGATTCGGTGTTAAGACCATATTTGGACACACTGTCCTGATACCCTGATGACTTGCAAAAGCAAAGCATATAATGGTGCCATGTGTTAACCTGTGGGTGACCTCATTCTTTTACATAGCCTAGGCTTAATGCTGTCTCTCCTCCCAACTAAGACAGCCTAAAACTGCTTTCATGGACTTTGAACAGCCTTAGGCAGATAAAAAGCATGTGCTGCTGCCTGTGGTATAGTGTATGTGGCATAGTATATACAGGGGTATGCAAAAGTAGGTTTACAGTTGTGGTACAAATAAATAATACAATAATTAATAAATAACAATACAAGAATAAACTCTGTTTCGTATATTCACAACTGTAAGCCTACTTTTGCCCCCTAGACCTCATGTCTCCCTCTCCCTACGTTTTATATAAGAATCATTGCCATAGTGAAACAGTATTATTTGTGTGTGTTTCATGTCCCAACTTGGTAACTGGGAAAGATGAAAGCGATTCAGAATCAGGAGACGTGGGATTTCAGTGCATTAATTTTAGCACCACCTCTTCATTAGTTCTCAGAAACGGCTGTCAAAAACATGGGTGGTTTAGAAATTGAGTTTATTCAATAATTAACAAGAGCCAGCCTGGTCCCAGCTGCCTCAGTCATTCACATTTCCCTGTGTTTTCTGTTTTTGTTTGGTTCTTGAGTACCTTTAAGGTGTCTGTACTGTGTATTGATCATGTTTGTTCCTTAGGCTTATCAGGCTCGTCTGCATTACCTCAGCCGGTTCATTAAGAAAACACCCGATGGCGAGGGCGTGCCTGGGACTGTATCTCTGTCAGAAAGCCATTCGCGAGGAGAAGAAGGTCAGTGAGCCTGCCCCTGCGGCCTCAGGGCCGTAACCCCTTCGAAATGACAGGCAGCAAGTCATGCTTGGTAAAAAGAAACCATGTCAGGATCTGTTTTCTTATGGATTGTGAAAAGTCACATACAATCCTATGAAAGATAGGTAGTTATTTCTTTTTCACCAAGCATATGTTTACGTTTCCCATCAAGTGGATATGATTTTCTCCACTGACTGAGAGATGAAACGAGAAATAAGGGTCCTACCTAGTTAGAAGTAGCAGTATGCAAACTTGAAGATAGACATCCTGCTATAAATCTGTCACCTTTTCTAATCACCATAAACATGAATAATGGCAGTTAAGAATCATAGCTATAAAGTCAGTGATTGCCTTGGACATGGAACTGTGAAATGCTAATTATTTTAATACGTCAACCCATTGATATATAATATTATTCTCAACTTACCAATAAGGACAAAGACCTATAATTATTTTCTCAGTAATTTACTAAATTCACAAGATAGCCAGGAGCAAACCCAGCATGCAGACAGAGCCCTTCATCAGCCCATGTGTCTGGCATCTTCTTGCCAATATGTGGTTGCCTCATTCACATCCCAAAACATGCTTTCCTACTCGCACATCTTCAGGAGAATAATTTAATAATTGTTACATAAATAATGTTTTGTAACTTTTCTATAAACAATCTAAACAGTAAATATCACCCTAATTCTGTTATCCTGGGATGGAGCCTGTTCAAAATGCTTCATGTTTAGTATCTCACTTTAACCTATAGCACAAACCTTTAACTATGACACAAACATTACTATTTCCATTTTACAGATAGAGACCAAAGCTCAGAGAGTCATCTTAGTTTTCCTAAGTCATATACATATAAAAAGTGACAACACTGGGATTTAAAATATTTCTAACTCCTAAGGTACTTACTCCTCTAATTGATGAAGTTAAGTAATATTAGGAATACAAAGGTGAATAGAATACAGCTCTTGTTCTTTAAGCTCTAGATTATGATTATTATTTAAATGTATTAAGTTATATTTATAAGAAAAATTGTTGTGCTAGATGTTTGTTAAAAATGTCAAGGAAGCCAAAACCTGTTTGGCTCCATAGATAGAGCCTCTGCCTACGGACTGAAGGGTCCCAGGTTCGATTCTGGTCAAGGGCATGTACCTTGATTGCGGGCACATCCCCAGTGGGAGGTGTGCAGGAGGAAGTTGGTCGACGTTTCTCTCTCATCGATGTTTCTGACTCTTTATCCCTCTCCCTTCCTCTCTGTAAAAAATCAATAAAAATATATATAAAAAATGTCAAGGACAACTTTATTCAAGACTATTGCAATAGGAGTCAGGGCTGTTGCAATTGGGAGAGAGATTGAATTCAACTCTGAATATTACAAGGACAAGTGGGGATTTATAGCCAATAGGCAGAGAGTAGAGAGAAAATAGTCAGAGGAACTTGGATAGGTCTCAGGGGTTAAGGAAGAGGAACTTGATTAAGTATCAAAGATGGGAGAAAGAGAAGCTTAATTGGATATCAAGGGTAAGGGCAATCTATAATAATAAAAGCATAATATGTTAATTAAACCAGAAGTCCTTGTGGATGAAGCTGGGGCTGCCAGGGAAGCACAGGTCCTGGGTGCCAGAGGGAAGCCAATGCCGGCAGCCAGGGGAAGGAAGGCCTACTCTTGCATGAATTTCATGCATTGGGCCTCTAGATCTCCATAAATGGGTTTAGCAGGATTCTTTGCTAAAACTGGAATTCTTTTTCTCTCTCTCTTTTTTTTAAAAATGTTGTCTTATTGCTTAAAGTATTACAAAGAGTATTACATATGTCTCCTTTTTTCCCCCCTTGACCTTCCCCCAGCCCCCCCT